CACTGACTGCTGTGTGGACAGTCCTGGTCTTCAGCTTCTCCATCTCTTTCTTCTCTCGACTCTGGAAGGCTCTATCGGCGCTGGTCAGAGAGTCCTTTAGGCTACTAAGTTGGGCTTTAATCTGATGTGAAGTGATACTTCCATGATGTGATCGAGATGTGGTAGGGTCCTCACGAGTTCGAAGTCGTCATCCTGGTCGAGGAGTTCACTACGTCCATTGAGCTCTTTCACAACATCCTCTATCCTAGGCACGCCACCACTAGCCGAGCCTTGCCGGAACACCTACAATACTATCATTAGGAGGGTGGGATGATGCAATAATAAAACCACCTTAGGATTGAGGTCCATAGTGCCGGGCTTGGTCCCACCTGTCTTAAGTAGCTCCTTATGACGCTCCAACTCTTTTGCGAATGCCTCCTTCTCGGCAAGCCCCTACACACATCATCATCATCAGAAGGCGCAATGTGCAGAGGTACCTTCTCAGTGAGCCTCGGGGCACTTGCCACTTGTCCAGCAGCTCCAATAGAGGATACGAAGGGATTGAATACTCCTACGATACCAAGATGATGATGATGATGATGATCCTAAGGCCTGCAGTACCTGGTGTGTTGGGTAAGGAAGCCTTAGTCCCACCAAGGGCATAGTGAGCATCAGTGAATCTTGATATGTATACTATTGGGCAGGCTATATACTCAGGCTCCGACGATGGATACAAACAGAAGCCGAGCTGAAGAGGGATGAGCTTGAACTCCTCTTAAGACAGCTAGCAGCAGTTGGGTACTACATTCATCAGGAAGTCCATGGCAGCGGTGCATTTACCGACAGCGGGGTCGAACTTATCATTACTGAGCCTTATCCGTCGCCTCTTGGGGTTGGAGGGCTGTGCTAGTATATTATCCACTATGTGTAGGAGTAGAGCTAAGGTCTCAGTTGCCGCTTCGCCCTTCGCGGTACGACTATGCTCGATCTGAAAACCTTTCTGGTACCCTAGACCAACTACTCCAACTACTAGCATCACCTTCCTTGCCATATCGAACAGGTTATCTGCACTCTGTAGGACGTGGCTGGAGGCATCACTTCGACTTCAGTGTACGTAGGAGTAGTAGTAGCCTCCCTAGAGACCGATGAGCTCTGCCC